ACCCTGACCACTGTCTTCCATCCTTTCCTCCTTCCTCCACCCAACCAGGGCACCTTCTCTCTCATCATCGAAACCTGGAGAGAAGAGTTAGAACAGATTGGCGGTGAGTGTCTTTAGCCATCAGACTGAAGTGTAGAGTGTGGGGGCTCCAGGGAATTGGGCCCGATGTAAGTTCCAAGATAGTGACATGGGGCTATCTGTAGAGTGGAGCGTTCGCGGGATCGCTGGACCCAGGAGGTCCCCACAGCTCCCAGAGTGTGGTGCTGGGTGTTAGTAGCCCCGGGGCTCGTGGCATGTCAGTGTAGAAATGTCCTGGTTCTGGGTGTAGGAGTCTCTGGCCGGATCCCAGGTGAAGTGTGCCAGAGGGAAGCTCTCGTACTATCTTAGAATCGAAGCCACCAGAGCAGGATATAGCATCTCACAGTTCTGCTCTATCGCCATCTGAATATGATAACCCCGGGTTCAATATGGGTTACTTCCTGTTCTCCATTCAGAGTTCTGTCATGGTGTCCCTATAGAGGTCCCCGGAGCCCTAATGGGATGTCACAGTTTCACCAGAGAGAATATTGAGCAAAGGTTTCAGGGAGGGATATGGTATTTTATCGTTAATTTGAGGGGGATTTGGGTACCATGTAAGGCCCACAGTGGGGGTGTGCTGTCACCGTGTAGATATAGAAAGCTGTGGCACAATGTTGGGGAGGGGGTGACAGTTTTGCTGGGGAGAAAATGCCACTGTCTCGGCATCCCAAGGCTTCAGGCAATGAGGGTCATTTATGGTCTAGTAATTGGGATCTCTGTCACCATTTTGCTCTAGGAAGATCCTGAGACACAATTTGGGGGTGTTACGACTTCAAAAGACCTGCCGTTGCCCCTTGGTCATATAGAGATAGCAGATGTCACAGGGTATTAAGAGGTCTCATTACTGCCTTAATATACACAGATTCTGGTGCAAAATATAGGGTTATTTCGGCTTCTGTGGGAGAACTGTTCTCATCATGATGGTCATAGGGTACTAACGGGATCGCGACATCAAAGGTCCCAGGGTACATTATAGGAGTTTACAGCCTTGCTAAGGGTTGAACCGCCATTCTCAGGGCTCTCAAAGCGGTGTTTGGGCCTCGCTAAGAGGGGCAGGGAGAGTACAAGCCGGGAGAGTGCAAGCTCCATCTGTATTGCGAGACTGAGTCGGGTCGGCTCCGGCCCGGCCCCCCACCCCAGCGCGGCTCCCTTCTTCCCGCAGGACCCGCCTGGAGCCTTCTGGCGCGCGTGGCCGGCCGGCGCCGCCTAGCGGCCGGGGGCCCGTGGGCGCGGGATGTGCAGCGCGCAGGCGCCTGGGAACTACGTTTCTCCTACCGCGCGCGCTGCGAGCCGCCCGCCGTCGGGGCCGCATGCGCGCGTCTCTGCCGCTCGCGCAGCGCCCCCTCGCGGTGCGGCCCAGAATTGCGCCCCTGCGCGCCGGTCGAGGACGAGTGCGAGGCAGCGCGTGAGTCCTGCGTTCCACCCCGGCCCTTCCTTAGCTGCACTCGCGGCCCCCACGCCCCTTGCAAAACCTCGTTACCGTCTTCGGGGAACTGGGGACCCAAGAGCTCAGCCCGGGGACCGCAGACATCCCTCTCCAGGAAACTAGGGAATGCTGCTCACCGCTGGCCAAGTACCCCACGCCCCGCTCCAGCTCCACTCGCGGTTCAGCCCCCTCCCCACGATCCAGCTACCACCTTCGGGGAAACTGAGGACCCTAGACTTCTCTCTAGCCCTGCCTGGGCACTCCACCCGCTTCTCTCTTCCTAACACTTTTGTCTTCCCTAATAGGAACCCACACCCATTTCCCATGCCGGTACCCACGCCCGGTTCCACCTCTAACCCATGCCACACCCCTTTCCGGATGCTAGGACCCTCTAAACTCTTCTAACGCTTGGGGCCCTTCTTACCCCCCACCCAGGAGCTTTGGAAACTCCTCGCAGTTTCCCACAACCCCCTCATTAAAGGATTCTTTATCTTCTCCTTGCAGTCGCGGGCCAGATACCATTGCTTTCTAAAGCTTGGATCCCTGACTTCCATTATGGGTACCCTCAGACCCCCTCCCCAAACGTCTGAGCCCCACGGAAGCCCGTAGGACTCCCAGGCTTATCCAGATTCTCCCGGACCTGCCCACATTCAAGACCTTCCCAATTCCCCCTGAAAGGCCAGGGGCCCTTCCCCAAGCCCCAAGCCCCTTCTCTCACTCTCCTCTCTCCAAGCTCAGACCCTGGAGCCCCCACTCCATTCTCCTTCTGAGAACACAGACTCTGGAGCTCGGTGACCTGGGTTCACATCCTCTGTCTGCTACTTCCTGTCTTCCTTTCTGGGCCTCAGTTTCCCTGTTTGGAAACCGAGGGGGAAGTTACAATACCATATAGCCCAGAGGGTTGTCTGTCACAAGGATGAAACAAGGTGGTGCACACAGAGCGCCCAGACACTTGTCCGATTCCTATCCTCCTGACCCTGCTCTCATCAATGTTACTCTTCCCTCTGCCTCTTCTTCCCCCGTAGCGGCATGTCGGGCCGGCTGCAGTCCAGACCACGGCTTCTGTGAGCAGCCCAATGAATGTCGATGCCTGGAGGGCTGGACTGGGCCCCTCTGCACCATCCCCGTCTCCAGCAGCTGCCTCACTCCCAGGGGCCCATCCTCTGCTGCCACTGGATGCCTTGTACCCAGGCCTGGGCCCTGTGATGGAAACCCATGTGCCAACGGGGGCAGCTGCAGTGTCAGTATCACCCCCTCCTACGTCATCCTGATCCGTACTTTACCCCCATCTGGGGCTGTTTGAGACCACACCCCGGGAAGGGCTGGGGGTAGCTGTCAGGGGAGGGCTTCCTGGGGCTGTCCAACCTGCATCTGGGGTCACGAGGTGGAATTAGGTGATGGGAATAGGATTGGGAAGAACAGGCCCAGTGGGTGGCACCTAAAGGTGCAGGCATGTGGATGATGAGTCCTATGGGGCTACCAACTTCCCCCCCCCCCCCAGAATAGAGAACAACCTGAGGGCTCAAAATGGGCAGCAGTGGGGCCAGGTGAGTTGGGAATTTAGGATGAGGGAGCATTAGAGAAGGCTTCCTAGAGATGGGCCTAGGGCTGGGGGCTTCTGAAGTCCAATTTGGCTGAGGGGCAGTGGAGTGGGTAGACCAGCTGAGTGGCCTGGGGAAAGCAAACATGTGGCAGTGGGCATGAAGCCGGGGTGTACTGGGATAAAGTGGAGCCCAGCGTGGGCCACCTGAACAGTGCCACCAACGGACGGTGAGAACAGTCAGGGTTCAAGGTAGGGGGAGGGCCTGAGAAGGGGAGATCAGAGAAGGCTTCATGGGGGAGGTGGTCTTAGGGCTAGGACCTGGAAGTAGGATTTGGCTCTGCGGACAAAATCGGGAGGGCAGACCAGGCTGGCAGCATTTGTAGGTGAAGGTGTAGAAGTGGGAATGGGGGCTCTCCGGGCCTCCAGAGCCTCCCCTCTGTGGGCTTGGATGGGCGGATCCAGAAACATGGAGTGCAGCGAGGGATTGTTTCATGGGGGACTTCCCAGGTGAGGCAGGACGGGACAATGAGCAGCCCCCCATGTTCGAGGTAGGAGGGGGGATGGGATTTTGCTCCCAGGAGACCCCGTTCTGAAGCCCTCTTGCTGCTACCCAGGAGACATCAGGATCCTTCGAATGCGCCTGTCCCCGCGGGTTCTACGGATTGCGGTGTGAGGTGAGCGGGGTGACGTGTGCGGATGGACCTTGCTTCAATGGCGGCTTGTGTGTGGGAGGCGCAGACCCTGACTCTGCCTACGTCTGCCACTGTCCACCCGGTTTCCAAGGCTCCAACTGTGAGAAGAGAGTGGACCGGTGCAGCCTGAAACCGTGCCGGAACGGTGAGGTGGGAGGACAGATGGTGAGGGATGGTGTGTGGGGGGGGATATGGGGGGGGGTCCCCTGCATGGTCAGTGGGCAAAAGCAGGGCTTGGCTCAGACAGTCCTGGGTGGGAATCCTAGCTGTGCTCTCTCTAGCCTGTGGCCTGTGGAAGTGACCCTCCCCCTCTGCCCAGCCTGTTTGTTCTGTAAAATGCACAAGGTGGTATTCCTGTCTCAAAGATATTGGAGTAGGGGGCACCTGGCTGGCTCAGTCGGTGGAGCATGTAACTTTCGATCTCGGGGTTGTAAGTTCAAGCCCCATTTTGGGTGTAGAGATTACTTTAAAAAAAAAATGAGTATCTACAGTCTTCCAGGTCCTGTTCTAGACACTAGGGAAACAGCAGGGAATGAGATAGACAAAAATCCCTACCCTCATAGAGCTGATAAACAAAATAAATAAATTATATGGGACGTTAGATGGTGATAAAAACTAAGAAGAAAAATAAAGTCAGAGGGGGGTGTGTATGAGCTGGAAGGTTGACACTTGAGCCAAAGTGGTTAGGGAAAAGCTTGCTGAAGGTAGTGAAGGAGGGAGCCATGCGGGGATCTGGGGGAAGAGTATGTTCCAGGTAGAGGGAACAGCAAGTGCAGAGGCCCTGAGGTCGGAATGTACCTGGCTGGTTAAGGGTCCCAGGGAAGCTGGTGCAGAAGGAGCAGGGAGAGTGGTGAGAGATGAGGTCAGGGAGGTGACAGACCCGGTGGGACTTCATGGGCTATGATGAGGATTTTTGGTTTTCCCCGAGGGAGATGGAGCCACAGGAGTCTTCTGAGCAGTGGAGAGACCTGATCTGATATAGGTGTTAGAAGATCATGAGTGTAAAAACTCTCCAAAACCCTGAGTGTTCACTCTGGGCTGAGTGGTACTAGGGACGTGGCAGTGACCAGAACAGCTCTGGGCCCCGCCCTCATGGGGGTACCAGTCCAGTGGGGGAGGGCACACTTGTCCTCGGAGCCCAGAGTTGTCAGGGTTGTGATGGGGGGAGCGCAGGGCTGGGATGGAGTCAGGGGAGGCTTCCTGGAGGAGACAGCAGAGACCTGAAGGCTGAGCTCAGGAAGAGAAGAGGTGAAAAGAATGGGAGGAAAGGAGGAAGTGAAAAGGGAAGGGGCATCCCAGGCAGAAGGCACCGGCAAAGGCCAGCTGGCTAAAACATGTTCTGCAACTGCCATTTGAGTATTGTTGAAGCCGAGAGAAAGATACAGGGACACAGGGCGCCGAAGAGGTGAGGCCGACTTAATCCAAGACTTCACCGGGAGAAAAGCGGGCTTGCTTTCCCAGAGGCTGGCCCTAGAGTTAGATGGAGGGAGTGGGGACCCAGAGGAAAGGGCGGGCAGGGGTTACAGAGCCGAGGAGCAGACGCCCGCCGAGGAAGTACCGCCCGGGCCTTGCTGCTGACGCCCCTTCCCCACAGGCGGGCTCTGCCTGGACCTGGGCCACGCCCTGCGCTGCCGCTGCCGCGCCGGCTTCGCGGGGCCGCGCTGCGAGCACGACCTGGACGACTGCACCGGCCGCGCCTGCGCCAACGGCGGCACGTGCCTGGAGGGTGGTGGCGCGCGACGCTGCTCCTGCGCCCTGGGCTTCGGCGGCCGTGACTGCCGCGAGCGCGCCGACCCGTGTGCCGCGCGCCCCTGCGCCCACGGCGGCCGCTGCTACGCCCACTTCTCCGGCCTCGTCTGCGCCTGCGCGCCCGGCTACATGGGCGCGCGCTGCGAGGTCCCGGTTCACCCCGTCGGCGTGGACGACGGCACAGGCGCGTTACCCGCGGCCCTACCAGGCCCGAGGCAGGGGGATCCCCAGCGCTTCCTTTTGCCACCGGCTTTGGGACTGCTGGTGGCCGCGGGCTTGGCCGGCACTGCGCTCTTGCTGGTCCACGTGCGACGCCGTGGTCCTGTCCGGGATACTGGGTCTCGCTTGCTGGCGGGGACCCCGGAGCCATCGGTGCCTGCGCTACCAGACGCACTCAACAACCGGAGAACGCAGGAGGGTTCCGAGGATGGCCCGAGGTGAGGGACCGCAGACGTTCGCCTTGTCTCTCCTGGCTGCTTACTTCAGCCCCCAGAGTGCAATTGGCTTGCTTCCTCGATACACCTTCTTGATTGGTTCCTTCCTCTTATCTGCCCGAGGCCTCTTTGATTGGGAGGTTCCTTAGCCCCCTTAGTTGGCCTTGGGTTCTCTCCACGGTGGGTGGGGGAAACAAGAACTGAGAATTTGAAGGGTCGAGATCTTATTCTTTTCCTCCCGCAGCCAGCCCGCGGACTGGAGTCACCCCGAAGATGGAGACTCTCGTGCGATTTACGTCATATCTGCGCCTTCCATCTATGCCCGGGAGGTAGCTACCCACCTCTACCCGCTCCGCGCACTTTGGGCACGCTGGGTGGAGGCAGCCCCTGCATTTCCCGTAGCCCTCCTTTACCCTATCTGTAAGCCGAGGAGGGTAGAGTCTCTGGCAGGTCCTTAAGCCACCCCTCAGTTATGGCCTAATTTAATTCTAGTTTGCAGCCCTTTTGCTGTCGTTTGGAGCTATTTGCCATCTTCTCTTTGGCAGACCTGTGGCCTTCGTGAGGTCACGGTGGGAGCCTCAGCCAGAGCTTCACTGTTTTCCCCTCCCTGGGGAGAGGGAGAGGAGGCAGAGGGGCAGCCCTTTCTAATGCCACCTACTCATTTCATTTCTAGGCCTGACCTGCCCCTTCTCCATCAGCGCCTGGAGACAGGACCCGGATATTTTTGTATTTACTTGGTGGTGCCCAATGTTCTGCCTTAGACACTTTGGAGCTGGAGGGGGTGGCTGGGAGAATTTTACTGTTGGGAGTTGTACATAATGGTTATTTATATCCTATCTTCTCCTCTCTCCATCTCTCCAGGGACCTCTATAAAGGCTCTTACTTTGATCAGCTTTGACTCACTGGGCTAAGTGCTTTGTACTTCGTGTTGGGACTGAGGGGAGAGATCGTGTCTCCTGGGAAGCATACCAGTTAAGACTCTGCTGGAGGGATCAGAAACAACTCAAAGTGGCTTAAACAAGGAGAATGTATTAGTTCATAAAAATGAATGTTGTAGTGGGTGTAGTTTTAGCAGAGCTGGATTCAGGACCGGGAGGTTCCCCCCCCCCCCCCCCCCAGTTGTGTCTGGGAACGACTTCATTTGCAAACGGGGCTTTCATTGGTTCTGGCGTGTCACGTGGCCTCCCCCCCCCCAAGTATGTTTTATTGTGATTCGTCAGGCTTGGTTATTTGTCTAGCGTGCAGCGGGAAGTGAAGTGAGTCAGGCTATCCAAATCAGGTGGAAAATGTGGCTAGACCAGTGTCCCTCCCTCTGCCTCAAATCGGGGTTTGTTACTAGACCTGAGAGTATTGTATCAGGCAGGCAAGACAGCTGAGTAGGTTTGAAGAGCTAATTGGCTTTATGAAGGGATTCGTGAATTGGGCAGCCTCCTGTCTGGTGAGTAGAGGGACGCTCCGAGGAGTTGCACAAAGTGGAAGGTTTTTATAGGAAGGAGAGGGGGGCAAGGAAGTTATCAAAGAAAGGATTGTTCCAGGCACTGTCACCTTCCTCTAGGGGAAGGGCAGGGGGTCTTATTGGGGACTTAACCTCAGCTTGCTTTGGGGGATGGAGGGGGTCCATGTGACTGATCACCTTATGGGTGCTGACCAGAAAATTCCTGACTGACCTGTGAAGACTTACATTTTTTTCTGTGAAGTTGAAACTGCAAATTGGTTGGGTATTAAGCCCCAGTTTGGTGACTTCGCCCAAGTGACGTCATTTTGAGCCTGTACTTTTTTTTTTTTTTTTAAGATTTTATTTTTAAGTAATCTCTACACCCAACGTGGGGCTCTAACAGCCCTGAGATCATAAGTCATACGCTCCATCTACTGAGCCAGCCAGCACCCGCCCCCTCCAGCCTGTGCTTTCTTTTCTTTTTCTTTTTTTAATTTTAATTTTTTACATTTTTGAGAAAGAGAGTGCAAGCAAGGGAGGGTGGGGGGGGGGTCACACAGAATCCAAAGCAGGCTCCAGGCTCTGAGCTGTCAGCACAGAGCCCCACGCAGGACTCAAACTCACAAACCATGAGATCATGGCCTGAGCCGAAGTCGGACACTTAACCGACTGAGCCACCCAGCGCCCCCCCTGCGCTTTCTTTTTTAACACAACAGAACCAGTCAGTGAGAGGAGAAGGGATCCATTTTATAGAAGAGAAAGTTGAGGCTAAAAGAGGGAAGTAACTACTGCGGAGACAGAGCCAGCGAGTGCGGGGTTTGGGATGCAGCTGTCCTTCCTGACGCCTCGGTGCTAAAGAGCTATAGGGTTTGTGTGGACGTGGTTGTGCTGCTTTGTTTCTAAACACCAAAAATGCAGCTGTGTTGGCTGCCTCAACACCCTGATGTTTATGACGTATCACACAAAACATCAGAAGGGTAATTTAATATAACTTCTAAAATGAAAAATTCACGGGCGCGTGTGTGGCTCAGTCACTTAAGCTTCCAACTCAGGATTTCGGCTCAGGTTGTGCTCTCATGGTTAGATTCACGAGTTCGAGCCCGGTGTCAGGCTCTGTGCGGACAGTGTGGAGCCTGCTTGGGATTCTTTCTCTCCCTCTACCCCTGCCCCTCCCCTGCTTGTTTCCTCTCTCTTTCTCCCTTAAAATAAATATGTGACATTAAAAAAATGAAATGAAAAATTCACATTCCCTTCAATTTGGTGGTTTCGTGTCTAGGATACAAATTACACGTGAACTTTCACTTGTGCACAAAGGTGTCTGTATTGCAGTGGTTGTTTGTAGTGTTTTTATTTATTTCAGAGAGAGAGAGCACAAGCGGGGAAGGGGCAGAGAGAGAGGGAGACACAGAATCTGAAGCAGGCTCCAGGCTCTGTGCTGACAGCTCACAGCCTGATGTGGGGATCAAACCCATAAACTGTGAGATCATGACCTGAGCTGAAGTTGGATGCTTAACCGACTGAACCACCCAGGCACCCCTGCAGTGGTTGTTTATAATAGCGAAAGGCTGTGAACACCCTAAGTGTCTGATGAGAGGGAACTGGTTACATTAATTAGGGGCCATTTATAAACAGGATATTACACAATTGTTAACAGGACGAGGCAGATATCGATGTGCTAATATGAAATTACCATCTATGCATTTTGTCCAAGACTGGGGGGGGGGAGGGACAAGGTGCAAAGGAGTGTATAGGGTGCTACCATTTGTGTTTTAAAAATGGACTGTATGGAGTTCACCTGGCATTCACCTCAGGAGGAGCTCGGCAGACCCGCTTGCCGGCAAACTGGTGCAAATTATAAAAACAAAATGACAGATCAACTGTTTAAAGCCTCTGGGAATGATCCTGAAGGCACATAGCGAATTAACCGTTCATTCGAGAAAATCTAAACGTTTGGTGAGAACAGGGAGAATCAGTAACAAGTAAACCAATACCCTCCCCCCC